ATAATATAGAAGTATCTAAAAATTAAATAATACACAAATGTTTCTTTATCACTAATAATCAGTGATAATTATATAACATGTATATAATCAGTATTTAATGTTCATTCTTTTAGGATTGTATGATACAAGTTTAATTACTAATAGCATATGGAGTTACAAAATAAGCAATAAATCTTTAAACATGTTGTTAATTTATATGCCAGTTGGCAGTATATGAAGTCAAATCAAAAGGTTCTGTGACTGAATATATTACAGACATATCACGAAATGTCTGTAGTAAGTGAATTCTGCTTATTTTACCTATCCAAAGAGGTACCATTTTATTTCTTATCAGACAAATAGCATATTATGCAGAAATGTTTGATGTACCTATAAATTTCTAAATATTGCATTTTGGAATCAAGTGCTCAGCTATTCAAACACATCTGAGCTGTTTCCTCCATGTAAAAACAACTTTCAAGGATAATACAAGGTCCATATAAAAAGCATCGGGAAAAATCTTTCCCTTACGTGACTGTACACCGCAGCATGCTCACACCATGCAGGCGTGGTAGTGGGGGTCTAACCTTTAACACGCACCATTCGCCTGAGCACGTTCGTAGAGGCCAGGCCGTGTTTTCAGTGGACCCCTGTCGAGTGAGTCGGTGCAAGCGCAGAATGCAGCGAACGATTGAACAGAGGTATAACAGAGTATAACGCACGCAGTCACAGGAGCAAGACACAACACAGAGCACAATACACACACGAAAGTAGAAAGAGTGCTCCGACAGAAGAGGATAGGTGTGACTCGCGTAGTGAGATATGACGTAGGGATGAAAAATCCTGAACAATTTTAATATTTTTAATATTTAATATTTATCAATATATATGATAAATATATATTTTAGTTATTTTAANGGTATGGAGACGTTGGGCACGATTCGCCAAGTGTTCAAGGATGAAAGCATGTCACAAACTGCAGTTTTTAAGTGGCACAAGCTCTTCAGAAGTGGCCAACAGAGTGTGGAGGATGAGCCCCGCGGTGGACGGCCGTCGACGTCAAGAACTAACGACAACATGCAACGTGTGCGTGACGTACTCAATTCAGACTGTCAGTTAAGTGTGCGCATGATTGCAGATCATGTTGGCATTGATGACAGTGCACACCATTATCACTGAAGATTTGGCGATGCGAAAGGTCTGCGCGAAACTCGTCCCGAAGGTCTTGACGGACGACCAAAAGCAGAGACGAGTGGCTGCTTGCGAAGACCGTTGAGGAAGACCCCGGCTTTCTGGACGTCATCATGGAAGACGAAAGTTGGATATTCGAGTACGACCCGGAAACAAAGCGTCAAAGTTCCGAATGGCACACTTCAGCATCAACTCGTCCAAAAAAGGTGTGAATGAGCAAATCCAGAATGAAAATCATGCTCATCGTTTTCTTCAACGCCCAGGGGGTGGTCCACTACGAATTTGTACCTGAGGGGCAAACAGTGAATGGAGCTTTTTACCTGGAAGTGCTAAGAAGAATGAAGAGAAGGGTCAATCGGGTGAGGCCAGCCATCGCCAGAAATTGGAAATTGCATCACGACAATGCACCCAGTCACACCTGCTCCAAGGTGACCGACTACCTGACAAAAAACGGCATTGCGATGGTACCCCAACCCCCCTACAGTCCTGACTTGGCACCAGCAGAATTTTTCCTGTTCCCGAAAGTGAAATGCTCCCTCAAAGGGCACCATCATAGGACCCTGAGTGCCGTCAAAGAGGCTTGCACGCGGACCCTTAAGGACCTTCCGGAATCCGCCTACCAGGGAGCCTTCGTGTCGTGGCAACGCCGTTGGCAAAAGTGTATCGATGCACAAGGGATGTATTTTGAAGAATTTTGAGGCATTGTAGCAATATCTGAAATAAATCTATTTTCCCAGAACTTTTCCCAATACTTTTTATACGGACCTTGTATAGTATGTTTCATCTAAAATGACCCTCTTTTAATTTCTAATGTTGTGCATGATGACAGAAGAATGGCTTACGAAGATGTGGCAAGAGCTTAATCTACTATGACATATGCCAGATGATTTTTTTAATTCCGCGTGTCGAAATAGTAAGTTCCTTGGCAAAATTCACCCTGTCCCCCACTTCAAAGATCAGTCACAGAACATTCTGATGTAACCTTGTATGTTAGCAAAACATATATAGAACTTTTAACCCTTCGATTTGTATGCTTCATCTTCTGCTGGACTCTTGGTGATCAAGTTTGGTCCATGACAGAGACAGATAATATCAAAAAAAGTATCATCATACAATTTCCATCTTAACAGAAATTGCAGGAACTTTTTCACATAGTTCCTTTATGCCATCATGGTTATGTAAGCACATTGATAGGTACAGCTCACTTGGTTTTATTTCACAACTGGAAAATTGTATGTATATGGGCATCCCACCTAAGGCAGAGTTTGAAAGGTATGTATGTATGGAGACTACTCAAAGGATTAGAAAAAGACATTTTGTTACAAGCAAGATAATATTAAAGACTATAATACATATAGAAAGAAAACATATTAATAGTCAAAACTCTAACGTGTCTTCATTTGTAAAATTTAGCAGACCTAACAATTTCTGAAAAATGAAACATTTCAGAAAAATCAGTTGTTGCCTCCATAACGTCTTTGTGATTCCACATCATGTGGAAACCAAGAAATAATCCATTTAGAATGTAATACTAATTTAATATATAATTTAATAAAAGCCCTACATTTCCAACAAATATATCTTCATCTGCAAGGTCAAATAGTAAGCCAAACAAGAAATTAGCAGAAGCAGGCAACAAGCTGAAGCCACTCACTCCTATTAGTTTTTTTGCTTGGCTTATTCTGTGACCCTGAAAATAGAGATGTGATACTCCAAAACATTGGGCTTTCTCCAAACGACAAAGCATTACAGTCCAGAAGACCATACTCTTAACAGTCATTACTGTGAGAGCCTCAAAATCCAGCATTATTTGTATAAATGTTCATCTGAAAGCAAATCGAAATTTTACTCTTCACTAAAAAATCATGCGCGAGCAAGCATTATGCTACAAGCCGGAAGGTCATGGGTTCAAGTCCCTATGAGGTGGATATTTTTCAATTGACCTAATCCTTTCAGCCTCTAACAAAAATGAGTACCAGGAATCTTCTTTGGGGATAAAGGGCAGCCCATGCACAAGGCTGACAACCTTACCACCATCTGTGAGCTGACTGTCTAGAACAGTGTTCTGCAACCGGTGTGCCGTCACAAGGTGAAAGGTGTGACGCGAACTTTTACATATTGTAAGAAATTGATTGTCAAATTTTATTCGTTTTATTTTATCCCAGTTACCATGTTTCATATGCTTGTATTTTATTCTCAGCCACTGCACTGATTAAATAAGATGATGCTTGTTTATTCTTTATTATATGCTGTGATTTTTATGTACAGTAATGTTGTGTTCTAAGAAATTAAACGAAAATTATTTACTCACAGTTGTTATATCATAGTTTTAATTATTGATTTATTTTTATTTTTCTTGCATCTACGCAGCTTCTTTGATATGCTTGCCGCATGTTCTGTGTACATGCTTTTCCCTAAAACTGCAGGGATTAGCATGAGTTTTCCCGTCTTTTATAATGCTGTTTTGGTATTTGCCCGTTTGTTAGAAGTTTGAGCTTCTTCAACTTTATGGCTTTCTTCCTGTGATGATGCACCCACCGATTGTTGGACTTCGTTTAAAATTATAAATATTTCAAAAATAAGTCGGTATAGTGTCACTTCTTCTGTTTGAAGAGTAGAGATCCCGCGTTTTACAATTGTTTCAGTTCTATCACAGCTGTGCTCTGAAGTAGTTCGCAAATTTTGGTTGCTAGTTAGAGAATTACAGATGGGTCGTTTGAGATGTCCCCGACTGTATGGCCACTTGCTGACGGCAATAAAGTGGTGATGCACACAATTAAAGAACATTTAGAAATGCTGCAGCAGAAATTCAATAAGTATTTTGGAGAGAGTGTACAAGATTTCGACTGGGTTCGCGATCCATTTGTTGTGAATTCAGAACATCTTCCCATTAATATACAAGAGGAACTCCCAGATTTAAAAGCAGACAGAACACTGAAACTAAAACTTCTCGAAGTCCCTTTGGATACGTTTTGGTCGGCAATAAGGAGTGGATACCCGGCTATCTCCGAGACAGCAGTTAATGTGTTATTGCCATTTTCAACTACATATTTATGTGAACTGGGCTTCTCGACATTAACTGAAATTAAGACATCAAAGAGGGAGCGGCTCAGATCCATCAATGAAGAAATGAGCCTTGCGTTGTCAACGATTCCACCACGGATCAGTCGCCTGTGTGCAGCTACGCAGGCACAAGTATCACATTGAAGGTATGAGTAGAATTACTGTACTTACTTTAATAGCAATAGAAGTGTGTTTTCTACACTCTACAGTGAATTGAAGTTCATTAATTGTTAATGAACGCATGAGTCGATTTCTGTTTAATGATAATAAAATAACAATATAATAATATTATAGTAATAAGTTGATCATGTTACGTATTTATATTAATTGTCTGATATCATGCGTTTTTGAGGGGAATAACATTTTGGTGTGCCGTGTTGGATACTTCATGGTGTGCCGCGAGTAGAAAAAGGTTGCGGAACACTGGTCTACAAGATGTGGGAGCCTCGACATCTCTCACCCCTATGGGCCTCCATGACCTGTTACAGGAATAGCTTTACCTTTCACTAAAAAAATCATGCAGTCAGCTTCTTGTTCTTTAGTTATATAGAGCTGAATGGAAGGGCAACTTGAATGATGAATCAGAATGTGGAAGATACCGGTTGTTGTCTATTTTAAGATATACTATCCCAGCATTTGCCTGGAGGAAGTGAGGACCCCCAGACCAGATCATCTGTTGGGAGAGCCCAAGAATCAGACTCAGCACTTCACAAATGCAAAATTAAGAATTCTAACCATTTACATAACTTCTACAAAATTACAAGAGGCCAAGGCTAAAATTAGGCATATATTTACACTGACATTCATTACAGTTTATGAAAATAAATAGTGACTGTCTTAGAAGGCACTTGGACACATTAAAAATACAATTTAAGATATAATCTGGAGTTTAAAAATACAGATTCTGCTGCATCATATCTAAGCATAAGAAGGGTAAATTCAGATCTTCAGAGTACGTTTCTCTATTGTCCAGTTAACTCATGTTCTTGTATTTGGTGAACAGATTATAGAGAACACGCAGTGTTGATTTCAAATCCAAGTTCACAATATCTGTAAGATTAAAGAGGTCACAATTAGAACATAACTGGCTTTGTGCAAATTTTGCAAAAAATACTGTTATGGTACATAACAAAGTTGAGCACTTTCATGTTCTACAGTATAGTTTTATATAGTCTTGTCTAGAAATAGAATCTGAAAGCTCAGCACTGATAATACTAAAACCTATGGCTCCTCTAAGCCAATTTCCTTCTCATTCCATTCAGATATTACCCTCCTGTCTCAGAATTCTATGTGTTCTCTTTCTATGAGGCTTTCCCACCAAAATTGTATATAAATAAGTTTCCCCATCCCAGTCACATGTCTGCCTCACTGTAGCCTTGATTTAACTAAACTAATAACAGCACTAAAACACCAGTTTTATACTCCATTACATAAATACTTCATCCCTTATATTTAGATATTTTTCTCATACTCCAGTCTTAAACATTTGCAAGTTACATTCTTCAGTCGGAGTAAGAATGCAGCCTTACCAAACTCTTAGAAGTGTAGACCAGACATTGTAATGTGTATCCCAACCCTCCTATCTTACAGTTTTAAAACCTTATGTACATAAAAATATAATTATCAAGGCACATCAGTTAATCTTACCTTCAGGTCGAGCTTTTGGCTTTGCAAGTCCTACATCCTGCATTAAATCAAAAGCAAAACTAACATTGTGAACTTTCTGGTCAAAATCCTGGGGTGTAAGATGAAAGCTGTATAGAGGTACAAAAAATCCTTCAAGCAGCCCCATGAGTAGAGTCAGATATACGCCATCATGGAACTGGGTATCCAAATCCGAAACTTCAAGATTCACCTTGTTCAGATGCTTGTTAACGAACGTTACCAGTGACTGGAAATTGAAACAAATATTAATTATACTGTGTTCTGCATAACAGTAATTTGTTTTTGCTCAGTTTTGTGCCTCAGGTCACTAGTAAAATATTTAATATTTTCAGACAATGTAAGAAACTAGTAAAGGTAAAAGGTGAAGTTGTCCCTGTGCTTAACTAATTAAGCACTTCGCCATGAAGGCATATGGGGGAGTGGTCAGCTTCACACCCCTGCCGCTTTACCCCCGAGCAAAGAGCCCCCAGTACCCACTGGATAGGAGGCTGGGTGGGCCCCATCGCCAGTCTGGATGATGTGGAGAAGAGAAAATTCTGGCCTCCACCAGGACTTGAACTCTGACCCCTTAGTCATCCACCCCACAAGCAGTCATTATACCAACTGTCCTACCCTGGCTCACCATATGGAATTAGGAAGAATGAAAATGTTAAATGGTGCAGAAGACATGCTGGATACCTATATTCAGCTGTTAATTACTCAAATATTGTAAATGCAATAAAATAATCAGATGTGGGCTCAGCAAATCATTATGATGGATGATTATGCACCCTTAACATCAGAAGTAGCTCAGTAAGTTCCTAAAAAGGCACCCCCACCCCCAAAGAAGTGCTAACTCAAAATGAGGAAAACAAATGCAGTCTTACTCAGGTAATAAAATTTCTCGTCTAGTGGCATTTTTAACATTTGCATGCATTTAAATATCCGTTTGCATCTACAGTCATGCAACAGTGTCTAAACATACAGATTTCTATCACATGCATACTGAAGATTAATTCATATTTTAATTTCTAAAAGTCTGTACAATTAGCTTTAAAAGGTCTCGAATAACTGGATACTTCATTGGAAAAAAAAATTAAACATTTCACTGAACTAGGATTTCTTGAAATGGCTACCGTCATCAGCAGTGAATGTCTTGTACCATATTTGGAGTAGGAACTTCCATGGGAATGCAATAACAGTGAGCCGTTGCGTAGAGAAGGCAGAAATGAAGCAGCGTTTCCCCAGAGATGGAAAACATAAGGTTCGTTGTGGAAGAGCAGGAACACAACCATGAGGTATGGTGTCTGGTATCCGGTCCACATAATGCCGATATAAGACAGTCACCGTCAAAGACAGTTGAAACCTAGTATTCACCAAGATACAGTGGAAGCAGTGATAATAAGTGTAAAGTGTGTGACTGCAGAAGCGAAGCACAATAAATATTCGCTACACCCTTGATGGTGTGAGGTTATTTGTCGCATGGCTTACCCAACACATGACAACTGCTTCCACTATATCTCAGCAAATACTAGGCTTCAACTGCCTTCGACAGTGACTCTCTTAAGACTCTCTGACCATGGCTGGATCTTAACTGTCTCGTTCATACATGTCTTTCTAGCCCTGCTTTCAACTCTCTTATAAAGGAGTTATGCGGACCGAATACCAGACACCATACCTCATGGTTCTGTTCCTGCTGTTCCGACAGTCCGGAGAAATGCTGCTTCATTGTTTTGGCCTTCTCAACCCAATGGCTCACTGTTATTGCGTTGCCATGGAAGTACCTGCTCCAAACACGTTACATTCTTTAGGAAAGGAGGTGAAAAAGAAACTGTGTGACATTTACAATGATATCAATAAAGAAATAACTGGTATTACAAAGACATACCTTCTTGACAACCTGTAGTTTGTCTGGTGCATGATCAAACAATGTATCAAATGCATCTCTTTCACATCGCATCCCAAGATCATCATATGTTGATGTAATTTCTTCCAATACAGTTCTATGGCTTAGAGAACCTTCCTTTTTCTGTTGACAGAACAAAACAAGCAAGTTCTACAGACCTTTCACTGTTATGGAAAAACAACTGTGTCTCACAGGAAATATTGCTTATGTGTGGAACTGTATGGCATTTACATTGAGTGCTGTGATACTGATTTTCAAAGGTCATAAAATTAATGCACATGAAAGAGGTCGCATATGATTGTCTGTCTCCACGTCTCGTATCCAAAACTCCATATTAGTCTCTGCTTATATCCGGTATTAACTTTTCAGTTCTGGCCGACGTACATTTCACGTTGGCATTTAAATGCCACATCTCGCCGGATGACGTGTGTCGTACGTCTATTGCAGTGCTAAGTTTTAGCTCTTATTTTGAACTGTTGCTTTTCATGTAAAGTAATTCTTTTGGGATGAAATTAAAGAGGAAATTTCTGTCTATCATTTCATATATTTGTTATCCCTCTTTGAACTCCCCGGGTTTCTTTTTTACATTTGAAGTCTCTGAAGAAGTTTTGTAGCTTGCCGCATGGGGTGAAGTATTGCCATACAAATCTATCTCCACCTCTTGGAGTAGTTAAGAGCTAAATATGCTAGGTTGGTAGTCTGTGATCTCCCTGCATGTTGGTCGAAGCAAGATCGATTTCCATTTCCATTCAGCCAGTGACGAGTGCTGCCTCTTGAACAGAATGAGAAACCATGTGTAGAACCTAACAACAAGTAAGATATGTGACATTGACCTTTGATATGACTGCTGCTGGATATGTTAAACAAATGCCTTGTTTGCATTCCTTGAGGTTCCCTTTGTTCCACAAATAGCTAATGCAGTTTGCATGTAGCAGCGATCGGCAGCAACGGTTGGGACAAGCAAGAGCTGTTCAGCTGTGTTGAGTGACGAGGACTTACAGTGTTTGCTTGAAAGTGATTCCAAACAAAGTCTGTCAGATTCAGATTTTGACACTGAAAACGAGTTAGATGATCGTGCCTTGATTGATGCTGTTGGAAATGAGGGCAGCGATGAAGATGACAGTGCAAATCAAGAATTCGTTTGGTAGGATATGGAGAACTATAGGGGTCAGAGAGAACATTTCACAGGCAGTGTTGGAGCTCAAGGCCCTGCAAAAGATGTAACAGAAATTGTGGACGTTTTCAAGTTGTTTTTCGACAAGGAACTTATTGAGACCACAGTCACAGAAACAAACAGATACGCGGAGCAGTTTCTACAGGGGCATGAACCATCAGTGAGGTAGCATTCTAAGGCATGGAAATCTGTGACAGAGGGAGAGATTTATGTTGTCTTGGGTTTGTTCATGCTTATGGGCATTGTACAGAAACCAACTCTTCGGTCGTATTTTATGACAAAAAGAGTAATTTCAACACCGGGATTTAGAGACATTATAACACGAGACAGACTGGAGCTAATATGTAAATATTTGCATTTCGCCAACAATGAAAACATCATCACTTTTGAAGGACCAAAAAAACTTTTCAAAATGTACACAGTAATTTTCCATCTCAATAAGAAATTTCAGGAACTCTGTCTCCCAAACCAGGACGTTTCAGTTGACGAATCTATGACACTTTGGAAAGGCCGTCTGTCTTTCAAACAGTACCTCCCTCTGAAGGCAGCCAAATTTGGAATTAAAACTTACGAGTTGTGTGACTCCACCACGGGGTATTTATGGTCCTTCATCGTATATACAGGCAAGGATACAGAACTTGACTCCCCCTTGATCACAGCAGACACCAACAAAACAGCCATTATCCTGAAACTGGTAGAACCTCTCCTGAATCAAGGTCGGACTCTGTGAATGGATTATTTTTACAATTCTCCAACTCTAGCCAGGCTACTGAAGATAACGCACAAGACTGACTGTATTGGCACTCTGAAATTGAATCATAAGAATGTGCCTCCAAAAGTGAAAACCACTAAACTAAAAAAAGGCGAAACCGTGGCACAACATTCTAGACACGTTTCTGTCACAAAGTGGTTCGACAAAAAAATAGTCACCATGATCTCCACCTATCACAGTCACGACACCAGGACTGTTACAGTTAGAGGCAAGGAAGTGGCGAAACCACTTTCAGTATTGGACCACAATAAGTCAATGGGAGGGGTTGATTTGAAGGACCAGCTGCTTCACTCTTATTTGATCGAGAGGAAGCGCATGAATAAGTGGTACATGAAGCTGTTTCGCAGACTCCTAAACGCCTCAATTCTGAATTCAATGATAGTGTACAGGAGTAACACAGGCAAACAAATTCAGCAATTATCGTTCAAAATTCAGTTGACTGAGGGCCTGTTCGTGAAATATGCGAGTGCTGTGGAACATAAAGTGCCGGGTTCACATCCATCAGACAAGACAGTGCCCCGTCTAACAGAACGACATTTTATCAGCAAGATTCCTCCAACGGCGAAGATATCTAGACCACAGAGAAAGTGTGTTGTGTGTCAAAAGCACAAAAGGAGAGGGGACACAGTGTATTGGTGTGATGTGTGTGGCGTGGGCCTCTGCATTGAGTGTTTCCGCGACTACCACACACACCTGAATTTTTAAGGTAATACAATACTATTGTTCATAATTTTTATACGCTTACTGGCCCAAAAATAATTTTGAAGTAGTGTGGATCAATACTCTAATTCTATATACTTCTCTGGACGTTGTGTGAAAATCTGAAAAACAAAACTCCAGTTTTTCCCTGTTTATTACACTTTAAGTTGAGTGCTGCATTCTCCGATTTAATTAGTTAAATAGCCGCCGGCACTGGAGTTGAGTAGCGATTTAAATGCCTTCTGGCGCTGAAAGGTTAAACTGAAGTGTCACTGGAAGAATTTAATTTTTGGTGTACACTGGTTAATTATATATATAGAACAGAATTATGTAACTGCCTGAAATTTAAAGATAACATACTTGGACAACAACAACTCCCACTGCTACATTTTCAGGCAGACGGACTGGAGCACGGAAATGGCGAGCTAGTGCCACAAGCAGATGTAAGATGGCTACAATATTCTTTGAGTGCACACTCTCCACACTCCACTTCTGCTGGGACCAACGTGGCAGACTTAAAACCTGAGACAAACAGGAAAACTCATAGTGAAAGGTCAATACAGATAACCATAATGTAGTACAATGTAATTTAATTAAATAGTCCATTAGCTAGTTATGGTTGCTAATTTGTTCATCATAATAGTTAACCAAGATACTGGTTAAGTAGTTAAACTTACTTACTTGCTTATGGAGCTGAGCCCTTCTTGAGAAGCCGCCAAATCTGCAGCTACTCAAGAACTTCCCAGCATTTTATGAAACGCGAAGGCTCATCACCATATTCACAAGAGCCCTCCACTGGTCCCCATCCTAAGCCAGATCAAACCAATCCATACCATCCCATCCTATCTCTCTAAGATCCATTTTAATATTGTCCACCCTCCTACACCTTAGTCTTCCCAGTGGTCTCTTTCCTTCTGGCTTTCCCGCCAATATCCTATATGCATTCCTCTTCTACCCCATTCCTGCCACATGCCCTGCCCAACTCATCCTCCTTGACTTGATCATTCTAATTATACAAGAGTACAAGCTATGAAGCTTAATACTTTGTGGACCAGACGCATGATATCATGCTTTTCGCTTTTAAACGTGGTGGACCGGTCGCATGATATTATGATTTTAGGACACGTTAGGTTGTAACACACTATACCTTGCTCTGGCGCCAGGCAATTGCAATGAATACTGCATAACAAATCTTCAGAATGTATGTTAGGTATTCAGTAACTTGATCTGACTGGCTAGGGTCCCTACTCCAAAAGAAAATATACTCTGCCCCTTCCAGCTGTTTATGTACCAGGCAGGAAGTTGGTAGAGGGGAATATGTTTCAAGGACAAAAGCAGTTGAAGGCAAAGTGTTCTCTCTGACTTCTCTCTGACTTGTTTTCGGATAAGCTATCTGATGTGCCTTGTGGAGGAGTAGTGATTAGTGATTCAAACAGTGGAACTGACAGGGGTCAACAAAGAAATGTAGCCACAGATAATAAAAGTGAAAGTTGCCTTGTGGCTTATAAATTGTGCCATTTTCAATTCATTTTTGGTTTACAAAAATCTAAATCCTGATTCGAAATTGAAATACAAAGCATTTCTGATGAATGTAGCAAAGGCTTGGGCTACAGACCACATGGTGGCGGAAGAACAAGAGTCAGACAGACTTGGTGCGACCTAGCCCATCAACTCCCACCCCACGCAGGCCTCATGTGGACACCCCTGGGCGACTCTCGGGGTGATATGCGGAAACATACCCTCATGAAAATTGTGAAGAGTGAACATTCCAAGGGGAAGCATCCTTCTAGGCAATGCCGTGTTTGCGCAGTTCACAAAAAAAGGACTATGACTGTCTACATTTGCAAGTGTGTAATGCCACTTCACAAAGGGGAATGTTTCCAGAAATATCACACTCTCAAGCACTTCTAGGAGCATTGGTAAGAGTTCTCCAAAAATTTTAGTTCATAAAATTAATTCGATTTTATATTAATTTTTAAGGTGAACAGTGCACAAATTAGGGTAGTAGGTATAAAAATGCTGGTCCCCAGGGTGATTTAAATATTTAAATCGCTGGTCCGCAAAGTGTTAAGTAGTTAAACTTAGTTTGCTTAATTACATGATAGACTGGTTGCCTACTACTTAGTTTAGATGGCTGGTAGATTTCTTTAATTGGCTGGTTGATGCTGTCTTAATTAGTTACATGACAGCTGTTTTCTTAGTTTAGGGGACTGGTTACTTAACTTTGTTCATTGGTTCTGTATTAGTTTATACATTGCTTACTTGCTAGTTATTCTGTGCTTTATTTTATGATGCCGTTAGTGTCTAGTCTATATAGCATAGAATGATAGGATATCTGATAAATCAAGGATTTGGAAGGAAGTGGTTATGCCCTAATTGTGATATCATCTGAGTATCTGCTTAAAGGGACTGGCAGAAATCACAGAAACCTGAGTCAGGACAACTGGCACCCTGGCCGAGGCTCAAACTGAACATCTGAATACTAATCTACAGCATGACCACTATGCCAGCCCGCTCAGTGGGCCAGTAATATGTTGGTTAGTCTGCGTCTACAAGATGAGTACAAACGCTTGAACTTACTCTGTTACACTGATATATTGGGTTTTTGGACATTATCCATCGTCCTGGTTTTTAAGATAACTAATAAAAACACGACGTTTCGGAAACTGGATCTGTTTCTGTCCTCAGGTGAAGGAAGGTGGTCCAGTGATTGAGGCTAGCTCTTTCTAACGGACCCAACAGAATAGGTTTTTCCTTCACCTGAGGACAGAAACAGATCCAGTTTCCGAAACGTTGTGTTTTTATTAGTTATCTTAAAAACCAGGACGATGGATAATGTCCAAAAACCCAATATATCAATGTGTTATACACCATCGTCAGAATCCTATAGTAACTACTTACTCTGTTAGTTGCTGTAAGAACTATACCAAGTTTCTGTTTTTGCCCCTCTTCAGACTGTGTAACTTCAGGAACATCCAACTTCTCTCCTGTCAATTTCTCTATCAAATGTAAACAAAATTTATAATTAATTGTGGGTACAGGTTCTGTTCATGGTACCAGAATATTTATCACCCATTATTACAGCCTGCATCTTTAACTTCTATGACTGCCAAATCTGTTACATCCCAGTCTCCAGTTCTCGCATTCCTTTTGCTTTCACTCAACATATATTGGCATATGGGGGGCATGTGGTAGAGTAGTTCGTTGAGGCACTATGCTACAAGCCGGAAGGTTGTGGGTTCGATTCCTGATGAGGTGTAATTGGATTTTTCAATTTACCTAAGCCTTCCAACTACACTATGCCCCTAGGGTCAACTCAGCCTCTAACATAAATGATTATCAGAAATCTTCCTGGGGGAGTGAAGGGAGGCCAGCATGTAAGGCTGACAAACCTTACTGCCATCTGTGAACTGAATGTCTAAAAGATGTGGGAACCTCGACCTCTCGCACCCCTATGGCCCTTAATGACCTGTTACAGGGATAACTTTACCTGTTACTGTTATATTGCCATATGACTCCCCTAAGTCTGAAACCCATGCTGATAAAGGATAGGAATTAATATTTATTAGCCACCTGTTGCACTACTGTAACTGTGCATACACCCAATCCAGCTGGTGAATGTCATATTCTTAGCACAGATACCATTATCCCATGAATTCAAATCTGGTCACCAGCCCCATAGTACTGGGGATTTTGAATCCTGTTACCAGATGCTAAGTATCAACATAATCTATTGTTTATCATCCATAAATTTTCTACTGTGGCAGGGTTAAGATAAATTTTGTGCTAATGTATCCCAAGTGTTTATGATTAAAATTTTGTGTACAGTTCCTGTTTCACTTCAGTGTGCCCATCTAAATCATCCTGATATGATCAATTTAACAATATTAGGAGAACAGTACACACTATGAAGCTCCTCATTAATATAATTAATTTTCCCTTGTTCCTCAGAGTGCCTGGCTAGAGATTTAGAGGTTCTGGGTTCGATTCCAGGCACTACCAGATTTTCTGAGAAGTGGTGGGTCTGGAATGGGGTCCACTCAGCCTCGTGAGGATAATTGAGGAGCTATTTCAAAGAAATAGCGGCTCTGGTCTAGAAAACCGAAATTAACGGCCATGGGGATTCATTGTGCTGACCACGTGACACCCTCTATCCGCTAAAGTTGGCACTAACTTCGCCGACAAGCGGCAGTGACTCAGTCAGTATAGTTCACTTGCGGACTAAAACCATGGAGTTTTGAGTTTTGCTGCATCTCTGAATACATAATACATTTTTGTAACACAAAGTTTCTGTAAAATGTTGCCTTATTCACTATCTCATCCTGAGAGCTTACCTAACAACTTCTGCAGTACTTGACCATCATACAGATCCTCCTCAATATCCTTCACTATAATCCTCTGGTCTGCCAGCTCATCGTTGATCCATTCAATTAGAACTGCTATCAGCTCCTTTAATTTGGGGTCTTCAAATGACCGTGGCTCAATCATGGACCTTTCCTCGTTCTCCTCTGTGTCAAGATATATTGGTATATTTACATAGTGATTATCAGAGTAATTTGCTTATCATACTTATAACAAAACTCAACCTTTTCATTTTCAGTCTCCAAAAAATATTTAATGTAAAAAATTCCATACAACTCATTGCTGAATTAAGATAAAACCTTTACTGTGTGTACTGCATACAAGCAGTCTTCAGGTATGAAACATTTATATTTAAATATACCAAGTTTGTGCCTCATCCACTGTGGTTATAAAATGTTCACTAACCAAGGGTGTATTCTTCTGGAGGCAGATCTGGTGCTGTTGGACTGCCTGGTGAATCGATAGCATGTTTCCCTTCCTCCTGGACTTCTTGCACTGAAGCAACCCATGTACAGCATTGTAAATATATTTTTAAGTGAGATATTTAGGGTAAAAAATGAAGACATACATAAAATTAGAAACCAAACAATAAGGATAATTATTTGTATCTCATCACCAAAAAGAGAAAACTCAGACTCTGAAATGTTTAAATATGTATTCAAAGTGGAATAACCTTAATTATAGGGGGAAAAACATTTTAAAATATGAATCATGTTATCTGTAAATTTCTTTCGTATTCTTCAACAAAATATAAGCCTATTTTGCTGTGCAACACTATCACCAAGTGAAACATTACATGATCCCTTGCCTTTAGGTCCTATATAGCAAGTGTGCATACTGACTGTTCAGTAATCTTAGTATACTGTATATATAATACAGGAAATTTAAACATAGAGTTCATCTCCTTTAATTGTCCCTGAAACTGTAAGACTAATAGAAAATATGAGTTGTACATAAAATGTGTTTCATTTTTCTCTAAAAAATTTGTTCCTAACTTTTTTCCCCAATAAGTATTTCTCGGGTTACGTCTCGAGGTAAGAACAAAAATACATGTAGGTCTTCATGTAAACTGCTCGTTATATATGCCCCTTTAAAAAAAAAAGTAACATGCAGACATTTTTTTAATTTTTGAATATATGATTTCAAGAAAATCCATTCTGTGGTTCTGGGGTGTTTCATGCGCAAAGGCAGACGAAGTCAATCTGACAGGCTCGGCGCAGAATTGGGAAGGCACCAAAAAAATTAACGACCTAAAGACCTTTCCGAAATTGGTAATTTCTGATTCCCTACATTCAATCATTCAACCCGTCCTTTTACATGTGGAGGTATGCCACATCACCATATTTATCATTCTACCAAGAAACAGCTGCAAAAGAAACCCACATTCCTCACGCCTCCGGAATGCGTGGTGTTGCCTCTGACATCTGCACACCCATTTCTCTATTACCATATATGGTCATGTAAAAGTATCGAGGATGCTGAATATTACTGAATATACTACTGATGTCAGTTTACATGTACGTAGAACCATATATAATAATAAATACATACCCTCCTTAATGCGTTTCTTCCTCCCTAGTGTGCCAATTTTTTCCCAAAACGATTCTTCTTTTTCGTCCTTACGAGCTGAAACTGGAGGACGGGGAGACTTCGGTCTTGGTGACGCCATGTTTGTTTTCCTCTTGATCACTGCGAAACCTGTATTTCAAACGATGAACTATCTAACACTGGACGGCGTAGTATGTATATATACTTAAGTATACCAGACAAACCAATGCAAAACTAGTAAAATTTGGGCGTTGACTACATGAAGCATGCATAATAAAAAGTAAAGAAAATGACTCGTAACTACGAAGTGTATACAGTATCGGTCAGATTGCTACTGTAGTCCAAAACATATTTATATAAATTAATTATTTTAATAAAGCCAAGTTGTTAATTTAACGGACATTGGCCTTGCTGGCCCAAATTTAACATGTGGTTAAAAGTACTGTTTCCTAACAATGTCAAAATTTGCAGGACTAGGAATACTTTCATCATAGATTCCGCTCACACTTGGCAGTTATCTCCTAAGAATAGCAGAATCCGTGGGCGCCGAGAGGGAGACAAGCTGATATGTCCCTCAAGAACTTTATACCCAACCGAATCGATATGCAGACCGAAAAAGTTTAAATCACTGATCACGAATTTTAAAATGCTCCCCGGTAGTGTAATCCCGGGGACCTTAATGGGGAGGGCACACCAAGGAAACTCGCAACTGCAATTTCGGAGAATTGCTATCAGCCTGAGTTGAACACATGTTAACTAAAGGATTAGAGCAAATTGAGGAAACGGTAACACAGTTTCTTCAACTCGCGCTGCTCAATTCAGTAACATGTGTTCAACTCATGCTGATAACAGTTCTAGGAAACTGCGGTTGCAAGTTTCCTCGGTGTGCCTCCGCCCTAAAATGACATAACGTCAACGGTGAATTCGTTTTAACGCTATTTTGTGTATCTTTACTTACCTTTCAAAGTGCCGACAGACTCTGTTTGATGGTCATGTATTGTCTCGACTTCCTCGTACGTCTCATTTTCAATATGGCTTATTGTTGTCGGTCTTTCTTTCTTTTGCCGAACCACTGAAGCGTACATCTGTTCTTGTAATTCACTTTCATGGTACGTAGCTGGTCTGTCTTTCGGCACATATCTCTGGTCCACTTTGTGCTCTCCAGTTCTATCCGACTTTTCTGTTTCATTTTTCACAGTGCTCGGTTCATTTTTGTTATCAGTTGGTGTTGCACTTTCGTTTCTAATGATGTGCGTTGGTTCCACAGCAGTGGACTGGTCTCCTGTTTTCGCTGCACTTTCTGGTTTAACGAGTACGTCAACAACCCGGGGCACTGAATATGAATCGTCCTCACATTCGGAATCTTCAGAATCTGAAGGAACAGTAGGATCTAGACGTGTTTCGTGAGAAGCTTGTCGAAACAAAGTTCTACAAACGGGACGCTCAACTTCTTCCTCCATCATTATCTGCACACTGTACGCTTAGTTTCCGCCAATGGCTCTTCGTGACCACATCCCTCCTCACTGCAAGGAAGTGAGTCAGTGTTGAGATAGAGTGGTTTAAAGTAACGTGACTATTGCATTCTTAATGGAGAATGTCGCTGGAATTATTTATCTTGATTGAGCATAGTTCAGATCCCGGTCGTCGCGCGATACAAGGCGCACACGTTCTGCGATCACTTAACACTGGGACAGCGAATTCGATTCCCACTTCGTTCACGCTTTCACAATTTGCACTAAGTGCATAAAATGAGGGCATTGTGGGAAGTTGTGTACATCCACGTGTTTAAACGTCGAAACTACTGAACAGACTTAGATTAAATTTTGAACTTAGACGCTACGAGCTGTCAAGCGACATTGAATCGTATGATCTTTAAATCAAACTTTATTAATTTTATCAAAACGGCTTACCCTACAAAAGAGTGTTAAATTATGTGAAATATAGATGCTGTTAAGGTGTTGGATTTCTAGTCCCAAATATTTTGTCTGGTGTATATTTCACGAAGTAGAATGATGAAAGTATACATTTCAGCAACGTGGCCAGCATTTTTTTTTCTTGTGATCACAGGATTGCAATACGAAGTGGAAAGAAATCTTATACTTATTCGGAAAAAACGCATTTGGAAAATATGTGTACTTTATTTGGAATGTTTTATTTTCTGCGCTCTTGTGGTGGTAGAGGCCCCATGCTGATCTGAGTCTTCTTGTCTCAATAAAAAGGGATATGAACCTAACAGTAAATGTAATCATGCGCCGTAGTGCCAAAGAAGAAAAGTGATCATGCAATTCGTAGGTACACAGCGAATTAATTGCCGGATTATATTTCTGTTGTTTGAATACGGAGATATCTCTGTACTTAAACAACAAGCCATGAACGTACATGTGTGAGGTTGAAGTATCTAGATAAATATTCAGCTTCATGCTTCGGACGTCGGTCGTTTTATCTGCAATGAAATAATCCTTGGAACCCAGTGAATAAGTGACTGGGTTGTCCTCAGAGCCAATCTGGTCGGATCTGTATAAAAGTAAAAGCTAACGCCCTTAATAAATTATGGGCATATTTTGAAAAGTGGCATCTTGGAAAACCGACAAGGAGACGGAAAGAAACATTGAAATGGGCATTAAGTAAACTGGTTTTCGTAACATAAAATTGGATGTAATGTAATATTCTTATCGAATAGGTTGGCCTAACGATAAACGCTGTAGACTCGTATTCAGGAGGTGCCTGATTCGAATGTCAGCTGGGACACCGGCTGTCCTAGCTAAGTTTTTTCGTGATTTTCTTCAGCCCCTCCAGGAAATTGTTGGGATGTACCTAGATTAGTCCATGACTGCTTCCTTTCAAATTCTTCTCAATTCACTATTCATCCCATCATCCGATGCTATTTGGCCACTATACTGACAGCGTCGTTAACAGCCAGTTAAAAATGTTTTCACGCTCAGTGCTTAAATTACGCGGGCTAATGCGAGGGTCCGATCAGGGCAGTTCTGTAGAATAGAGATTCTGATTAACGTTTAGAAGCAGATTTTTAAAAGTTAACATTTAAGAAATGTTTAATTGAAATTTATCTATTTTATTTTAAATAACAGAAATTATTTTCTCATTATCAATTGAGCAAATGATGCGAGAGCAGTCGGATTCGATTGAAAGTATCACAATTCGGACGAGATCAGGAAAGTCGATTCTTATAATCGACAATATATGTCTATCGAGGTTTCGTATATCTTGCGTTTCTAGCAAGGGTTAATGTGACCGAATGTGACTCGAAAGCTCGAAAGTGACTAGTTTCCTTTGAATCAAAACGGAAAGGGTGTTTGGAGGTTTGGAGGTTAGGATGCACGGCTAATTGTAGTAAACATTGCAGTTTTAAAATGTCTTTTGCAGGTTTAGTAAATAGATGGTCGAGGTGCTTTTTTCAGAATACGTATGCATATAAGTACACAGAACGTCGAGGTGTAGCAATTTCTGAACGTTATTCTCAGCAACCTGAAACGAAGTATGAAGGTAAGATTGTATAAAGACAGTCGGTGTGTATTTCTGCAGTAGGATGTCGTAAAATAAGGTTTCTCACCTTCTGATGCATTTAGTTTACTTGAGAAAGTTTAATGAGAACGAAGTATGAGGTTTGGCCTGTTACGACAACGGGTGTATGTGTCTAGTGCGTGGTGATTTGTGCCTCGAATCCCGGTGGAGTACTGCTGAAGGGATTAGGGATTACTGATTGCCTGTTATCGGGATAGTGGTGCCTAAATTTCATGCCCGACTGAACACACAGCCCTGCAATGCGTTTGATGCCACCTAACCTAATAGCGGCATAAATAACCAAGAATACATTGACGTATCAGTGTTAGTAGTTTTAGCGTATGAGTTAGGTGTTTGAATAAATACTGTCCTCATCACTACATTTGTTCTTTTCATTTCATTTCATTTATTCAGCATTCCATAAATGCGTACATGGTTTAACACCAATGGATATAGAAATAGTCAACATGAGTAAATCATACTGCAACACAGCTGTGTAATGTCATACCAGTTAAATTTTATAATATACAACATGAAACAAAAACCATTATCATGCAAAGAAAGTAAGAAGTAATGGGTAATTTCCCAGTTTTAATATTTTCTGTGTGATATATTAACCTTGTGTAGTAGTATTTGGCAGCACAGCATTTTTTAACTGGTGTGTTTCATTTTATTTTCGTGTTTTAATAACACAGTTCTATTTAAAGTAACAAAAATTCAGTTTCAAGCATTGTATTATAATGCTGTAAATGCTCAATATGTAACCTCAGCTCAAATTTTATTAAAATTATGGACCTGAATTATTATAATTGTTACTGAGGTTACAGTTTGGACATTTATGATATACAGTACAATCGTGGTAATGTGACATATATGGGACCAAGGTACCACCAGATTACCAAAAACGACAGATTACTGGAGAAAGTCAGAACAAATTTATTTTTATTTCTCTATTTTTCTTGATATTGTATATTGTAGCACGTCCAACACCATACTCTTTAGTCAGATTAATAAGTTTTTCACCTTTGTCAAGTTTCTTAATTATTTTTGCTTTAGCACTCAAAGTTTTATGTTTATGTTTGTCAGAACTGGACATCTTCAGCATACATTAAATCTGCCGCTGTATGAAAAGTACTGTACAGAAATGTATAGGTTTGAAGAACTGAAATACTGTGTACTAGTGACGGTCTAAAGAAATCAGTTTTTCAGGCTTGACTGAACACAGATCGGCCTCTGCTGCCTGTAGAAGCCTGCACAAGGTTACAGATGCCTGTCTGGTACTTGATGCCAGATTACCGGACATGTCAGCCTACCACACAGCCAAATTACCGAGATTGTCTTGTATGTGTGTGTAGATGTAGGTGTTGAAATGTTGTGTTTCTTAAAATATATTAACATTAATAATTTAAAGGTATAGTTATAATATGAAGTGTCAGCTTTATGCAGTTTATGCCTCTTTTTTATATAGTATACACTTTTGAATATTATCACAGGTACTGAAGAGTTCAGAGTTTTGGATTTAAAACCAAAGAAAACAGCAGTTAGAAGGAAGCTTAGAAAAAAGCAAGAAGTAATGCCACCACGGTAAGCAGGTATTTGTAGCTCCTTTTGTAGTTCATTGTTGGAGTCAGTACAGCAACCTGCAGTGGATGATATCACAGGACTATTGACCAACTGAATGGTACAGGTTCTTCCATAAACATTGATCATCATTCATATGGTCAAGAAGTCCTCAGCTTTTATAGTATTTAAATGTTTATCACATGTGGACAAGAGCTCACCATTACATTCCATCTATAGCTAGTTGATAGCTAGCTATCTTCATGCCCCATTTGTCAGAGATCCATCTTAATAGTAGCCTTTTATCTATAAGTATACCTACATCCCCAAAGCGGTCTCTTCCCTTCAGATTTTACAACCAGAATTTTATGTGGGGTGTATAAAAAAATGGGGATAACTTCAGCAAGAATCAAAAGCAATGAAGACATAATGGGGCAGGTAAATGTAAATGTACTATGGCTGTTTTGTAGACTTGTGTATATTGTATCAATTACAGGGCTCTATACTGCAATGACCAGGAGTTACGCTAGAAGGATTGTCTGTAATGTACAAGACGACTTGTTAGGCCATCATGCCTGCCATATGGACATTAAATAATGATTAACTTGAATTCAGTTCTCTGTAATTGTATGCTTTATTGCTGAATCCATGATTTTAGTGGATCATCTCCATGCCATATCACAGTAATACCTATTATAATTTGCTGTATCATTAATGATGTCCATTTATACAGTACATTTCAATTTAATTTTTCTTTTTTTTAAACTGTGTACAATATAAAGAGTTCTGTAATCTGGGATGGAATGCGATGTAGTCCGTTGAAAGTCAACTGACATTTAAGATGAATGTATGTTGCCTATCAATGGACTGTGTGGTGTTTTACCCCAGAAGACAGAACTCACAACCACTGCTGCGAGAATCAAATTCTACATGTATGTACAATACAGTTGCAGAGTAAATTGTTTTTCTTAAATTTCAGCACCTCTTTAATGCCAGTCGACCAAGACTGGGGCAGCGTTTGGCCAGGGCCACGAACCTTTCATCCTGCATCAGTGCCTCTCCCACTAAGACAGGGTTACAAGGAAAAAGATGCACCTCCAGGAAAATTTGGCAATGCTGAACTCATGAAAATTCCAAATTTCCTTCACCTGACTCCACCAGTGATTACAAGACAGTGTGAAGCTCTGAAAAGTTTTTGTAGTGCATGGCCGCAAGGTCTTGAAACAGATGCAAAATGTGAAGAATCATTTCCATTGGAGATCATAACATCAGACTACTGCCACTCATCACCTGATATCAGAGATCCTCTGGCAAGGATTGTTACGCTTAAGGTAAATTGTAGTATTTTGCAATCATGCTGACTGGCCCTGTGATTTTTGACCTGTAATCATTGCAGTATTAGAAATGGAGCCCCACAGTAACACTAAATATCAGTGAATAAAAAAAGGCCAGCTTTGGTATTGAATTATGCTTATTGTGAAGTGTGCCACAGTGATGTGAACTGGCTCATAAGTACCACCAAACTTGCTTATGCACTTATTACAAACATTATGTTTCTGGACATTATCCATCGTCCTGTTTATACTTCAAAACTCAACGTTTTGGATACTATGTTTTACCTGAAGACGGAGACAGAATCCTGTCTCCGAAACATTTGGCCATGGCTCCTTTTTCTGTTTTGTAATCCTATATGCAGTCGGTAGGACTCTTTGAATGGGGATCATCTCATTGCGAGCCCTCTGCCCCACCCCCTCCACACACACACACACAGGACAGCAGAAAAACAGGCTTCCGTGCCTCAAGTGGGTTTTGAACTCATGACCCTAGCAGTTGAGCATGCAAAGAGAGTTCATGCCTTAGACCACATGGCTGCTGTGATCAGCCTGTCTGAGTCCTATACTTGTTGAAAATGGAGAAGTTAGAAAGGTATAACTCCCATTTGAGGTTACTGGGGAATAGGGGTATAAATTAGAGGCTGGACTCAGAAAAGAGAAAATATATCAGAAATAGAACTGGTGCAGTTAGTGGCGGTATTAGTTAAATTGATTTGGTCTAATGAAAGTAGTTAGGTATGTCAGTGTACTACCACAAAATCTTGATTCTTGGTGTTATGTGGACACAGATTTAGGTATTATATCAAAATGAAACGTGGCTCAATAAACTTTGTCTTGTCAGTGTGTTTTATTGAGATCTGTATACCCGCTAATTTTTTAAAGTAATTTTTTCTGCTGCTCAGTATATCCAGTTGTGCAACAATGCTCTTACAGGTGAAGCTTGGCAGACTCCCATTGAATACACATGCGAAAGACAAGCTTCTAAGGCTGGTTGGGGAGCGTTACAACCCTGAAAATGATGTCTTAACAATAATGACAGATCGCTGTCCTCTCCGCCAGCAAAACTTGGACTATGCCCTTTATCTGCTCACTACATTATTTTATGAATCATGGGTAAGTGTTTCTTATTTGTTGTATTCTGCACCCATGTTACTCATACCTTCTTCTACTCTGTGTGGATTCTTCCGATTCTGTCTTTAGAGCCATTTTGTTAATTGTCTTTCTATGTTTCTGTATTATTGTACTCATCGGTTAGGTATTAACCAGTCAAAACTTGAAATGAATGTTATACTGTTGAAAAATGCCTCATCATGGCACTTTACACTCTGTATCTTCAACATACTGTGACGTGTTGCGCTATGGAGGAACCCCCCCCACCACCACCACCACCACCAGTGGTGGCGGCATCGAGCGCTGTTGCAGTTGCGGGACGGTCGGCATTCCGCCCCTCTAGCCCGCGGTGACGTAGCAGGTGAGTCAGCGCTCCCCCCCGCACTGTGACGTGGCACACAACACCGCTGTTGACACAGGCAACAGGCAACAGTGAATGAAATAAAAAGCCGGCTGAGCAGTAAGCGAGAGTTAGTTAGTTAGTGTGTGATCAGGAGTGACACAGTTGGAATATAGCAGCAGTCAGTTAGTCAGCAGTGAACGAGTTAAAGTGTAGCCGTTGCTGAAGACAGTTCGAGTATAGCAACAGTCGCAGAAAGAAGAACCGGACGCGTGTGTGATAATCAGTGATAGTTTGTGATAACTGAGAAGTACTTGGGAGTGTGTAATACGGTGACACTTATATAGCTCCCGTACTGTAAATATGTGTAGACTACTGAGGACAGTGTGAAACGATTTGTGTGTAGGGTTTGTAAAGTGTGTAAACTCATAACATTGTTATAATTAATTGTAGCCGAGACTTGTAGATTGTTAAATAAACCAATTAACAATCCGAATGGCGCCTTCAGTAACGAAACACGTTACATTTGGTGTCAGAATTGTTTACGAACTTAAACACACCACAAACAGATTGTTGTGCATCAAATATTTTACTGCTACAAAATGGAGATGCAGCAGATGATGGAAATGCTGACAAGAATTGACACCAACATGAAATCTAACCAAGTAAAAGCAGATACCGACCGAGTGCAGATGCAAGAAATGTTCTGAAGACATCAAGAAGAAATGAAGGCCAATAGGAAAACTGACAAAGAGGAAATGCTGAAAGAGATGAAGGGCGAGAAGGGCGAAATGGAGGCCAATAGAAAAGAGATAGAAGATTTCCTGGCAAAATTGGGCGTCAACCAAAAACAAACCGACGTCATGCTGACAAAATTAGACGCCTACCAAGAAAAGGCAGCGGCCGATAGGAAGGCCGACAAGGACGAAATGAAGGCGGAAATGCGATCTGTGCGGTCAGAGTTGGATGAGACATTCCAACATAAAATTGAAGCGATCAGAGCAAGGACAGAAGAAATGCGAGAAAATATGCGCACCGGCCACATGAAGATGGTGTACGCATTTCACCCCGAAACAGAGAAAAAGACGATAGCCTTCCAAGAAATGGAGACACGTCTACAAGGAGAAAAGCCGGCCTGAGTGGACACGAAACCTGCGGCAGCACAACAAGAAAGATCCCCTTAGTAATGCTGGTCAGAGTGACGATGGCCTGCCGAGAAATGGAGGCACGTCCAGAAGAAGAAATGCCCGCACCAGCGGACATGAAACCCGAGGCAGCAGAACGACGAGAGGTACCCGTAGAAGACGCCAAACTAATGCCGGTCGGAGAACTGAAGAAGAAAAGGCGTAGGGACCAAAACAAGTGACAAAATATGAAGAATTCAACACGGGGAAGTTGTGGACCCCAGAAGGAGTTGGCCGTAGCCCAAAGAGGGATGAGCTGCTGCGTGGAAGTGGCACAGCAAAAGAAAACCAGCAGGAAGGTGTCCCGCCATGCAACAGTGGCATGGTGTCGGAGGAACATCTTCAGGAAATCTTGGACCCGAGGAGATTATGTATCCTGGATGAAGTTGGCTGCCACCTGCAGGAAGGTATCCCGTCACGCGGCAATGGCTCTACGTTGGAGAAATGCCTTCAAGAAGGAAACAACCCAGGGAACCTTTGGATGCCGGAGAGAGAAATTGGCTGTCGACAGTTGTCTACACCGTCTCTGCAAGCAGCCTTTGCGGGGTGCCCTTAGCAGCGTACAGAAATCAGCAGTGGGCACTGTTGGGCCATGGTCTCGTGCCAGCAAGCGGCTGGAAGACCAGGAGGAACGACAATGTCAGCAAGTGTGGACCACATCGGAAGTGCTGTTACGTCGACATAAAGAACTTCTCAGGGAAGACATAAACAAGGATTGGACATTGTGGAGGGGTCGACCCCCTCCGAAACGGAAAAAAATTGAATAGGACACAGGAGGAACTGGTAATGTAGAAGTACCGGCCTCCCGAGGAAGAGTGATTGTGCGATGAATGAATGTGATACAACCGTATCTTCTGGCAAGTTGCTAGGAAACCGCTCAAGATGAGCTGGTCTTAAGAGGGAAGCGGTTGTAATGGCTGGAGAACAGTCGCTACAAGGAGTAGCCAAAATACNTTTTCACCTTATTCTTCACTTCCACACTACATGTTTCAGCACTAATGTGCCATCTTCAGGTGTCTTTATGCACGTTAAACTATTGTACTGCATGCCATAATGTCTTCATTCTAAAATGACTAAAATCTGTATTCATCATATAAGACGATGAATTCTAAATAATAAAACTTTTCAGGATTCTTCCTACATCGTACTCAAACACGCGAATTACGCCAATCCTCTTTTATGTGAGCATTCTTCCTACATATATTTGTGCATCATGTTCTGTGTTGTGTTTTGCTCCTGCTACTTCATGCGTTGTACTGCCGGATCTTCATTCTTTAGAATGAAGACATTATGGCATGCAGTACAATAGTTTAACGTGCATAAAGACACCTGAAGATGGCACATTAGTGCTGAAACATGTAGTGTGGAAGTGAAGAATAAGGTGAAAAAGTGTATACACTGTAAGACAGTCAACATAAACCATTGGACATGAATCAGTGTAACAGGACGCTAAAAATATAACAGAGAGTTAGTTAGTTAGTTAGTTAGTTAGTTAGTTAGTTAGTGTGTGATCAGGAGTGACACAGTTGGAATATAGCAGCAGTCAGTCAGCAGTGAACGAGTTAAAGTGTAGCAGCCTACAAAGCGAGACAAAGTGTAGCCATCGCCGAAGACAGTTGGAGTATAGCAGCAGTCGCGGAAAGAAGAACCGGACGCGTGTGTGATAATCAATGATAGTTTGTGATAACTGAGAAGTAATTGGGAGTGTGTAATACAGTGAGACTTATATAGCTCCTCTACTGTGAATACGTGTAGACTACTGAGGACAGTGTGAAAAGATTTGTGTGTCGGGTTTGTAAAGTGTGTAAACCCATAACATTGTTATAATTAATTGTAGCCGAGACTTGTAGGTTGTTAAATAAACCAATTAACAATCTAAACGGTGTCTTCAGTAACGAAACGTTACAATACCATCTTGTGAAATGGGAAAACTAGTACCATTTGCTGCATGATCTTGAAGTTCTTGTGTTGGTAGGTCGATAGAAATAATGCTGCTTTTATTAAAGTAACAGCATGTAAATCATGTGAAGTATTTTTACCTGACTGATGAATGATTATAACTTGATCTTTAAAAAATTATGTGGTGGCTCGTTTATTGTGGGAGGTTGACTGATGTTACAGCCAGTTAAAAATATTTTGAGCCCCTGAGGTGTGGCATCACACATGCACAGGTACCAGACTTCCTCCAAAATATGAAACCCTCAGATTGCACACACCTATTAAGATCTAATCGTTTTTTTTTTTCTGTTCTGTGAGTTGCCTTTCTTGTGTTTTAGTATTTTCCTGTATACTTTGATTTGATATGCCTCCCCTCCCTAATCACATAACAGATCATCTTTAGCATCTCTGCAAACTGCGTGTACTGTGAGGTAATGCCTGCAAGAAAAGTCTTGGAACCAGAGAAATCTCACAGAGGGGTCCATTGCTAGGTAACATACACTGATCACCAGCAGCCAAATATGTGCACCACAACCAATCCTTGACAGTCAAGTACACACACAACAGTCAGGAAATTGGGGGGGGGGCAGTGTTTTCTAATCAGTCCCCAACAAAGCAATATAAAGATGGCCTGCAAGCCACCTGATGAGTCCTCAGTGTCAGAGCCAGTAAGGAATTTGGCAACGAGTGATATGACAGATTTTGAACAACTCTGAATACTTCCAAACTGTGTAATTATTTGTAAATAAGACAATTCAGTGTCTAATGCATCCAGTTGTCCATCCGAATCCTGTCATATATACTCAGTAATAATTTTATTTCAGAAAATAGAAGCATGGGAGAGTGAAAAGAGTGAAGCAGATATGGAATATTACGATTGGGATGCTAGTGCGTCTCGTAAAAATGTGATGGGACTTCTGTCCTGGAAACCAGACCAGAATGCAGCAGAGATGTCTGCTGATGCCATGGACTTAGATATAAAGGAATTTAAAGAAGCTGTTTCAAAGATCATGAATGAAGGTAAAGTGGAAATCCCACACCAAATTACAGCTTCTTATGTGTGAAGAACTCGGAATAGCATTTTACATTAGAGGAATTTTAAGTCAGATTCATAACATTTCTTGTCACCTGCCAAATCTTAAGATGTAGGATTATTTGCACTTTTAGAATTTCAGGTAACATAACTAGAAAATTACTGTGTTTATAGTCATCACTGTTAGGGAGTGGGTTGCTGGTGTGTAATCATCATAAGTGTAATACTAATAAGTTTTAATTACTTTTTAGGTGAAGAGGAATATACACTCAGTCGGTATAAAGAGGAAGTGAAGAAGTTGTTTTCATTACAAGATATCAGCAGTAAAGTGTAAATAGTTATTAATAAATAAAGAGTTTTCAGTGTCCTATCCATTGGAGGTTGTTATATGAAGAAGTCAACAGTGCTTGTGTAGCAGAGAAGAAAATATGCTACTCTTGCACCCGAAGATGTGCAAGCAGAGTCCTGAGCACAGGGAGGGACAGGTGTGCATATACCAGAATTTTCAGACTTGGATGAATTCATCCTTCATAACGCACATCATACTTTCCACTGTTTGTAGGAATTTTTTCAAAGTGTCATAAAATAAATGCAGAATGGGAGGATGGTTTGTGTGAAGCCAAGTTTCATCTCCAGAACTGCTCAATGGATTTTGATGAAATTTGGGGGTCTACACTGAACTTTTAGATTTAATTTGAAGAGTACTATCTTAAATAGAACATAGAGGCAGAGTTATGGTGATATGGATCCCATACGACCATGATGATTCCATTAATGGCTGAAGCCAACAGTGCCATTGAATCTGTATTTGAAAATACGTGGAAGTAGTTTCTGAAAAGTTATAACATCCAAGTTTCAGTACAGTTATTATGACTGCTGATGTGTTTAAGATGTCACCATACAATGATTTATAAATTATTATCATAACAAACATTTCACCCTGTTGTCATGTTTTTTTCCCCCTCAATTTTTCTGAAACAATGTAATATAAGGAGCATCTTTTTTTCACAGATCTTTTTCCATACAGCATTTCAGGAATGAATACTAAATGGTGCTGGTGGTATTCTTGTCGCAGGTTCACTGGACCAAGCTGACAGTGCTGAAGACAGGGAGTCAGAAAGTGTAAAGATGGTGTGGTTTCAAAGAGCATCCTATTCATACCAAAGTTACAGTAATCCTTTCCTGTCGCAATGTGTGGAACCTCCTAGCCAGGTCATATTGTTTTGCTGTGTGCACGTAATATGACACATTTTCCACAAAAAGTTAACTCTTTGACTGGCGCGAGCGTGTTTTAACGCCCGGACGATGCCAGCCGTTCCCTGGCGTTGGCGTGTTTTAACGCTTTGACAATCTCGTCCCTTCTTTGCTCTCTTGGCACTCATCAACCAAAGACATATTTATGATAGTTTTTGTGCATGTTTGTAAAGAACCCTTGTAAACTTTGTGGGGGTCTATATTACTGTCAGAACCCTCTGAGAAGGAAAAGGTCAGAAAATATTTCACATTCATTCAGTTTCACCATAGCTTCTTGCAGCAAGTGTCTTCGTTTTCCTACAGACCAGCTGGAAAATGTTGTGAACGAGATTTTTTCTGATGATGATAGTGGCGATGAAATAATGATTCC